TTAAAACTCTAGTAAGAAGGAAAACAAAAAAGAAAGGAAGAAAGATCAACAAATTAAAAAATAACTGCAAAACTGGAAAATGATTAAAAGATAGAAATATGAAATAGATTGTAGAAAATAAATAATAGGAAATGGATACAAAACAGCTCAAATGTAATAAAGGTTGTTATACATAGAATATATAGAATGTTATGTATAGAATGAAGAAAAAAGATATATGAAATAATATAAATGCGCGCGTGCACACACACACACACATACACACAGTTATACAAGACTTATATGTACAGATAAAAGAATCACAACAGATGTGTAAAAGAAGTGTAATGTGTTGTAAAGATGTGGTTTGCATAAACAAAATAAAAAGTTTTTTTAAAAAAACAAACTCTAGTAAGATTGTAGAGGAGGGTACCGTCAAATGTGAGTTCCTAAAGACACCAATGCCCTGTCAGTGATCAGATGGACAAACTGTCCAAAAACATTGAAGAATTTCTGGCACTCAGACAAATCAGCCATTAACAGGCACAGAGATAAACAGTGTGTGCATACCATTCAAAACAGACAATCCAAACGTTAAAATGCCACCTCTTTGTGAGCAATCCAAATCCAGATAAACAGAGATTAACACCAAGATTAATACTAGACCAACAATCAACAATAACCCCATCAAGGAACTACCAACTCAGACAAACAGTCAAACATTAAACAGCAGTCTAATCAAGGAACCACCAAGAACATTCCCACCAATATTAACAAGGCCAAGCCATATTATATAAACAAAGAGCAAACCCCACTTCCCATCTAGCATGTTTACTTGGTTGGATAATGAAACATCTGCACAAAAACAACCAAGTAGAGAGAGTCCCAGGAACTCCAAAGTTATAAAAACTGGATAAAAATATAATAACTAACTAACATTACTTTAAATTCTTCAAGATCAGCCTCCCATGTTCCATCAATGTAACTGAACTATTAACCATCTCTGCCACTCGCGTCACAAGTGAAGTTGAGGAAAATAATTTTTCAATCTTTAACTTGCAAGAAGGATTTTAATGTCTTTTTTCTTTCTTTTCCAGATTTGCTATCTTTTTTTTAAAGATTCTTTTTGTTGTTTTAATGTTGCAAACTTTATTCTTAAGGCTGATCGGGACTTTTTCTCAATTGGAGAATTAGTCATGAAACTCCTTTAACAGCCTACTTGATCCCTGTACAGTAATATGAATATAATATGCTTAATTTGGGGTTCACATGGGGATTGGAGCAGAGCCCAGCAACGTTGACTAGGGCCTATGATGAATGGATTGGGAACCATAAAACATGGCTTGCATTTTGCAATATTTATAGATTGCGGAGTAGACACGCAGGGATTGATGTAAAAAGGATTTCCTGAAGGCATTAAGCTTTTCAAAACCGCAACCACTTTAAAGTTATTTTGGAATGCATATTTTTTTCAGTATTTTCATCTGTCGCTATGTTGATTAGCAAATGGGGTCTAGGATTTTGACAGCCAGGGTACCATTTCTGTTTTATAAACCTTCCGTCCACCCTATGGTTTCTAAATTGGTGTAACTAAATTGGTGTCTGTGGGTTGAGGTTTTGTAAGAAGAGGTATAATCTCAAATGCAATCTTGCTTCCATCCAATTGCTGGTTTCAATGTTTGGGTTTTTGGGAAGAGATGTACACAACAGAATATATTCAGCATGAGCTGAACGAGCACACATTTAAAAATCATGCAACAATCAGCATTTTAAAAGGCAGGATTTGGCGATGAATCTTAAGCAGTACGAAAGTATAATGATGATAACGGTTTCCTCTGTCCAGTTGCATCCGTGAGGAGGTTGGGGAGGAACATGGGCCAGTCCTGGAGTCTGGGGAAGGCTCTGATGTGGGCTCTGTGTCGGAGGCAGAGAGGGGGCCAGAGCCATATGCCAGTTATCAGCTGCCTTCAGAGCCAAACATCAGTGAGGCAGACAAACAGCTGGAACCTGTTCCCAGTGTGTGCATGCGCAGAGTTGCGAGACAAAGGGAGCAGCTAAGGAACAAGGATCGACTTGGGAGTAAGGCCACAGGTGGACGATGAATGGCCCCTCCCAGAGGAAATAAAAGAGGACTGAAGGGGGAGTGGAGTTTGCAGGAGACAATTTGTTCATTTCATCAGTGTGAAGATTTGTTCTTGACTCTCAGAGACTCCTTGGCAATTACTTTCTTGTACAGCTTTGGGAAGATATCGGCCTGGCAGCTCTCCAAGTCTGATAAGGTCTGTGGTTGTAAATTCACCCTTGAAAGACTGTTTGCCCGGACTTTGCTGGATGCAAATGAGAGGAATTCACATCAGCTTAATACAAAGGGGTTTTGTCGGGACAAGGAGTCTGCCTTGTGATTTTGTGAAGCTTAGGTCAGAGCAAGGTCATGTGATTTCCATTTTGTGGAATCTGACAAGCAAAGTCAATGGGGAAAGCCAGATTCACTTAACAACCGGGTTACTGCAGTGATTCAGTTAACCACTGTGCCAAGAAAGCTCGTAAAATGGGACAAAACCTGCTTAGCAAATGTCTCATTTAGCAATGGAAATTTTGGGCTCAATTATGGTCGTAAGTCAAGGACTATCTGCAATGTATTCCCGAGGGAGGATAAACTCAGGGTTCCAATGTAGATGAAGTGAAGTGGAAGCCTGTTAAACCATCTTTCTCAGCTGACTGTGACCTTGCAAGTTGAATTATAGGACCAAACAGGTTTCCCTCCCCCCTCCACTTATTTTAACCCCAAATTAACTCTGGGTGGCCTTGGGAAGCAGGACTTATTAGGGGTGGCAGAGTAGAACAAGTGTGAGTCTTTCAGGAAAGCTACTATTTAACTGATTTGATTTTTAATTTAAATAATCCTTCATCTGGGCCTTTAAGAGAAAACACACTTTTTTCTGGATCGCAGTTGGAAAGAATGAAGTTCAGCTTTTGCTGCCAAAACAAACTGAACACTTGGTTGTCAATTTTCAGATGTTTCATTGCAAAATAAAAATGATCTACTTCTTCAGTGCATGTCTTTGAACATTTAAACAAGGAAAGGTATCCGCTAATTTTGTCCAACATTCACTCAATGCCTTTTTTTTTTTGTTAATGGAAAACGTACCTTTACAAAAAAAATAAAAAATAAGATAGTACAGTAGCTCAAGACATCAAGAAGCCAACCAGATGGACTTCTGTTTTTAATCATCATAATTCAATTCACAGCTAGTTTCTCAGGATTTCTAAAGGCAGAGAGGCACAGAGAGCAAAGCTTTGGGGTGAATTTATAGGTGTTTGTGCTTTGCTCTAAAGGCGAACGTGAAGGTCTCATGGCGGGGGAGGAAGTGTAAGAGTAGACACTTAAAACGATGGACCCATAAAAAAAACCCTGTCCATACCTGTTTTCCAATGTAGAGTTATAGATCATAAAACTATACAGCATGAAGAATCTGCTTATACTCTATAAAAGTGCCAGACGATACAAGTGGTATTTCTGCTTCCTGCTGTCATTATTAGCAAAAGACAATTTAATATAGAAAGAGACAGTTGGCCTACTGGTTACGGCGTTGATCTTCAGCTTTTCCAGCTTGGCAGACTAGCAGTGGTGGCAGCAGAGGGATGTGGAGGGGATGGTTTTCCGTGCATGTGCCAGTTTCACAAATGCAGCTATGCATGCGCTCGCCCACCACTTCTGTGGACTGCTTCCAAATGAGCCTCAGACGAGGAGTTGGGGACCCCTGGTTTAAGGTACCAGCTAGAAAATTGGAGACTGTGAATTCTAGTCCTACTTTAGTTGTGGAATCCAGCTAAGGTATCAGCTAGAAAACTGGAGACTGAGTTCTACTTTAGTTGTGGAATCCAGCTAAGTAACTTTGGCCCAATTACTCACTCTCAGCTGCAACATCAGGCTTGGGTGACAAGTTGGTCAATCAATGCCTCTCACATTCAATCAATTAATACTCATTGATCCTCCCCAAAAAAGTAGACCCTGCATTGTGAGAAAATGTTAGGGAGACCCCCCCAAAAAAATTCACCCCACTTTAATGTAGTTTTTCTTTCTTTCCATCTTCTGTCTCCAAATTACAAAGCATGAATAAATGCCTAACTTGTGATACGTGATAATTCACAACTCATTGTACTCCCCCCCAATTTTTAAAAATCTCCATATTTAGGGTACAAGGAACAAGAAAATTTAAAATAACAGAAGAAACCTACCATATATACTTGCAAATAAATTTAAAAATTTTAGGTGCCAATACACACCCTAAAATTGCGTTCAGCTTATCCACATATCCTTTATGCATTTGTGTACCAGCTCATTAGCAGACAAGCTCAAAATTTTTAAATAAAATGCCATGAAAAAAAATCAGGGATTACCCATGGATAAGCGAAGTGACAGTGAAAATTAAAATGTACAAAATTTTAAGGATCAACTTAAAGGTCAGTTTATCTGCTGGTGCATTTTTCATGGTATTTTGGTTAAAAATCCAAGGCTCACCTTATCCAGAGATAAACTTATACATAAGGTATATATATGATATTTATTATAGTTCTGGAAATGTAAATTACATTTTAAACATGGAACTTGGAAAATTATTTGTGAAAAAAATTGTATCTATTCCCACCTATGACTCAGCATGCTATGGAATTCCAACAGGTAGACCGTGGCCCGTCAAATGCGCGCCTGACAAATGCGCACCGACAAAACCGCGCCCGCCATCAACAAACAACATAGTGGGACGCAAAAACAATGTTATAAAGGGTTAGGGTTATAACGTTTTCACGTCCCATTATGTTGTTTGTTGATGGCAGACGCGGTTTTGTCGGCACGGTTTTGTCGGCGCGCATTTGTCGGTGAACCCAGGTAGACTACCTATTGCCTTTCCAAGTATTGTGCAGGGTTTTAAATTTTGAAACTCTTAATTTTTCCTTGTATCAGTGAAATGCTGTGTTTTAAGCAGAAACTCGAGACTGACTTTTGTTCTTTTATTCTACAGATCTCTCAATGGCAGTGCAAAAATTTTCCCAGTCCCTTCAAGATTTTCAGTTTGAATGCATTGGAGATGCTGAAACAGATGATGAAATTAGCATTGGTGAGTTGAACTTTGTTTTAACTTGAATTTAACTGACTATAGATAGTCCTCGATTGACGACCACAGATGGTTCCAAAATTACCATTGCTAAGCAAGGCACATGTCAAATGATCTTTGCCCCATTTTACAAACTTTTTTTTTTTGCCACAGTTAAGTGAATCTTGTGGACGTTTAGCAGATCTGGCTTTTCCCATTGACTTTGCTTGCCGGAAGCCGGCTGGCAAGATTACAAATGGCAATCCTATCGCTCTGGAACAATGCAGCTGTCATAAATACAAGCCAGTTGCCAAGCACCTAAATTTTGATCATGAAACTATGAGGATGCTGCAGTGATTGTAAGTGTGAAAACCTGTCACAAGTCACTTTTTTTTTCGGTGCTGTTGTAACTTTGAACAGATACTAAACGAAGGGTTGTAAGTCCAGAACTGCCGATAATAAAGTCTCAGAATCAGCTATAATTGAATTCTCTCCCTGTTGAGCTTACTACTATCAGTTGCCAATGGGAAGGAAGCCAGGAATCTTTTTTTTTTCATATTTGTATTTTATTTTTTTCTTGCCAAGAGAAACTGCATAAATCAATGGGACGAGGTTTAGCTGCTCTCGCTTAAGGTGAGCTTGTCAAAGAGGTATTCGCCCATGCCATTCTGGGGCAGCCCCAAGCGCTTCAAGTTGGTACAATGGTCTCCCAGGAGCTTGGTGGCCTTTACTTGCTCCTCCAGGAATTCATTT